CCCCTTAGCTGTTATAAATTCACTGTAAACCACGGCTTCTTGGGGCTTATTGCTTTATATCAGTGTTTCCCAACCGGGGTGCCGTCTGTCAAGAGCAGGGGTGGTGTGTAAAAAATGATTTTTTTAAAAATATTTTTCAATTGCTAAAATGTTAATAAAAGCAGCTATTATATAATATCCATTTCTTATATGATACTTTTTTCCAGGATTCTTTAGCAGAAAGTTCAAAAGAACAGCATTTATTTGAAATATATTTTTTTGTAACAATGTAAAGTCTTTACTGTCACTTATAATGCCTCCTTGCTGAATAAACATTAATTTCTTTAAAAAAAGTCTTACCAACCACAAACTTTTGAATAGTAGTCTATATGTGCAAATGCAACACGTGAGAGCTGTAGATCTGAGGAGGGCATTAGTTGAGCAAACGCTGATGGCATTAATGAACGCAGAGCCTCTTTCCTGGTCACAACAACACCATAAATGGCCCCCAGTGAGTCAGATGACTACTTCCGTGTATGGATTGAAGCATGTGTGAAGTATGTTGATACAGATAAGCAAGACTGTTGAACAAACACTTCAGCACAAGGCGAGACTGTCAGTAAGCGAATATGAATAAGTAGGTGAACACTGCTCTCAGAACAGCATTAAAGTTCAATTTGGTTCCATTTTGTGACAATGCGTGAGAAAATAGTTGGTGTGCAACATTGTACCTAGAATACATCTCATCCATCAAGGTCTAGGTATTGTAAACATATGTTATTTTTGAAACGATTGTTACTTACAAACCGTTTCTGACCCAGAAATAGTGCATTTTATGTATGCATGTCTACACAGAATTGACATTTATTTTCATGTATTCAGTGCTGATTATGAGCAGAATTTAGCTAAATATTGTATCACGTGTTCATGCTCAGTAAAATGACCTTATCTTTGGCTGAAAGCACTAAATAGGCAAAATATTTACTAAACAAACAATGTAATGCTTGCGTGTAATGTAACGTATGTAGCAAGATAAGGTTTTTTTGTCAACATACGCTTTAAGTGTCTCTAAATAAGATAGCATGCTTAATTGTATGAAAAGCAATGTTTCCAACGTTTGTGTAAACATTGAAAAAAGACATTATTTCTGTCAAGATTTACAGCTGTGGCTCTTAACTACACCCATAATGTCACAGGGACACCGAAAGATTCACTGCTTCATCAGTCCCCTGAATCACCCACCCAATTCCCTCAGTTCATCTACTGAAATTGTAATTATTGATCTTTTTTTTTTCTCCCCCCTCCGCAAACACGCAGAACATTGACATCACCAACTTCAGCAGCAGCTGGAATGATGGGCTCGCTTTCTGTGCCATTCTTCACACCTATCTGCCGGCACATATCCCTTACCTCGAGCTCAACAGCCAGGACAAGGTCTGTACGCTCACACGCATAAGACACGAACGGGGTGAATTCAGGTCAATTGGACAGCTTTTGAATTTGACTGAACATTTGGTCCAGTTTACCTGAATTCACCCTATATGTGACCCTGGACCACAAAACCAGTCTATATTTGTAGCAATAGCCAAAAAAAAACATTGTATGGGTCAAAATGATCGATTTTTCTTTTATGCCAAAAATCATTAGGATATTAAGTAAAGATCATGTTCCATGAAGATATTTTGTAAATTTCCTACCGTAAATATATCCAAACGTCATTTTTGATTAGTAATCTGCATTGCTAAGAACTTCATTTGGACAACTTTAAAGGCAGTTTTCTCAATATTTTGATTTTTTTGCACCCTCAAATTCCAGATATTCAAATAGTTGTATCTCAGCCAAATATTCAAGGTTCAAATTTATTATAAGCCCAAAGGGCATCTGCCGGCGCATATCGCTTACCTCGAGCTCAACAGCCAGGACAAGGTCTGTACGCTCATACGCATAAGACACGAACAGGGTGAATTCAGGTCAATTGGACCGCTTTTGAATTTGACTGAACATTTGGTCCAGTTTACCTGAATTCACCCTATATGTGACCCTGGACCACAAAACCAGTCTATATTTGTAGCAATAGCCAAAAAAAAAACATTGTATGGGTCAAAATGATCGATTTTTCTTTTATGCCAAAAATCATTAGGATATTAAGTAAAGATCATGTTCCATGAAGATATTTTGTAAATTTCCTACCGTAAATATATCCAAACGTCATTTTTGATTAGTAATCTGCATTGCTAAGAACTTCATTTGGACAACTTTAAAGGCAATTTTCTCAGTATTTGGATTTGGTTGCACCCTCAAATTCCAGATATTCAAATAGTTGTATCTCAGCCAAATATTCAAGGTTCAAATTTATTATAAGCCCAAAGGGCGATTATTGGTGCAGCATAAAATTTGTAAACATCATACAAAACACATAAGCAATACAATATGATATCAATCATATTTGATGTCCAAGAGCAACATCGATTAATGCTATAGTTGTATCTCGGCCAAATATTGTCCTATCCTAACAAACCATACATCAATGGAAAGCTTATTTATTCATGTAAAAATCTCAATTTCAAAACTTTATGACTGGTTTCGTGGTCCAGGGTAACATATGTTCCCTTCTCGAATATCAATTAGCACAACAAAAAAAATATATATTTTGGAGAAGACTTGCATATAATTCAATTCATTTATTGACATCAGTTCTTCCTGCTTGTGTTTTGCAGAGGCGGAATTTCACTTTGGCTTTCCAGGCAGCACAAAGTGTGGGAATTAAATCGACACTGGTGAGTTTAATATAAACGTCACAGCTAATTAATATATACATCATATTACAGTGCCTCAGAACCTAATTAAAAAATAATACTTTCATTCAAGCAAGGATGCATTAAAATAATCAAAGGTGACAGTAAAGACATTTATAATGTTACAAAAGATTTCAAATAAATGCAGTTCGGTTGAGCTTTTTGTTCATCAAAGAATTCTGGAAGAAATGCATCACAGTTCCACAAAAATATGAAGCAACACAACTGTTTTCAACATTGATAATAATAAGAAATGTTTCCTTAGCAGTAAAACAGCATATTGGAATGATTTCTGAAGGATCCTGTGACACTAGCTATGTTTCCATCACCCTGTTTTAATGCGCATTTTGAAGTATCGCATGAGAAACGAGTGATGGAAACGGCAAATTTCGGAAAAAAACTTTTCGCAAAAGTTTTTACGCTCACTTGAGGTGGTTTTTGACTTGTGCGAAAAAGGTTAATGCAAATAATGGGAGATGGAAACGCATTTTTGCGAATAAATCCCGCATGAGTGTTCAAAAAAGTCATGTGACTTTGCGTTATGGGACAGCATAACCTGACTAACCAGCGGACCGATTTTGTTGCACAACATCTGAAATGTTGTCATGGTCATTCTGAAGTGCCCGAGCAAAGTCTGTCGTCAAAGTATTTCTGTATAACTGCCTCCCAGAACGGTCTACCACGACTGCGTTCCCAAACAGCTGACATTCACCTCCGAAAGCAAGACCGCATTTAATTTGTTTCGTCTGCTCACTCAAAGAGCAAGTAATTTATTATATTTGTGAATTATTATATTCAGTGACTTCTCTTACTTTTCTTAGTGATATTTAGTGGCAGTTTATCAGGAAGTGACTATTTTGTTCTCTCTGACTCGTTGGATGGAAACAGTGCTTGTTCGCAAATGTTTTATGCGATATTCCAATTTTGCGCATAAGTTAAATTCGCAACTTTGGATGGAAACCCGACTACTAAAGACTGGAGTAATGATGATGGAATACATTTATTTAAAATATATTCAAATAGAAAACGGATATTTTAAATTGTAATAATATTTACTGTTTTGAAAATATTACTTTTTTACGATGTTTTTAATCAAATAAATGCAGCTTTGCTGAGCATATATTTAAATGCATTTTAATAACTTTCCTGTCAGCGGAGGCGTGTTTTATCCATGCCTTTTTATCTTTCTTAATGAAATTCTGTTGAAAATATATGATCTCAGTATGATGTACAATCTCTTTGAGATCTGTTGAATAAATCTTGATTTGTTTTGGATTTCAGCATTAGTAGATGTTTTCCTAATTTTTCTCTCCACCCTGTAAGTAAATACTATCTGCAGCTGTAAAACATTAATGCAACCAACAATGACTTCACTTCCCTGACATAACATCTCATATTGAGCAAAATTCATATTCAGTATTCAACTGTGAAGACTTCATCAATGCTCCTCCAAATTTATGATTTTTCAAGTGTTTTCTTGTCATAGCCTGTTTGATTACAGCTAATTTAGCCTTTTAGGTGTGTTTTTAAAATGAATGCTTTTATTCTTGTGATTTTTTTTTTTTTTTTTCCACTTCCACTTTGTCATTTCATTACCATTCATTCTATATAAATATTATCTGATAAAATCATCTAAGATAAGCCTTTGTTGTTTTGTCTTTTTGGGGTTTCAACATGTCATGTGGTAAAAAGGGAAACGCATACAAAGTCTGAACCAATTAAGTTTGTATTACTTAAATAGACAGTGTAGTAGTAATATCACATTATTTAGCAGTTTCAGTGGAGAAAATATGTTCCCTGTCTTGAAAAGAAGCAGCAGTATTTAATTCAGCACCTGCTATTAATTTAATGCTTTCATAAAGCTGTTTTGCAGTAAAACCGTGACTGCTAGTCTTGCTATAACAGTTGTGTTGTTTGCTCTTTGCTTAACAAGCTGTGGCAAGATACTTGTGTAACATAGCACACAACGCCACATAGGTTGACACAAACATCATTGTTTCTGACCACTTCCTCTTGCCTTCCCCCATCTGACTCATTCTCTCTGTCTGACAGGACATTGGTGAAATGGTGCACACAGAAAGACCCGACTGGCAGAGTGTCATGACCTACGTGACGGCCATCTATAAGTATTTTGAGACCTGAGAATCTTCTTGAACGGCTGTATTGGCAGCTTCAGCCTTACCTCGGTTCGCCTTCCTTGCTGCGGAATGCTACTCCCAAGATGCTACAAATTTCCCAGAGGTCTTAGCTGCGAACGGGGGAAGCTTGATCGACTTCGTCCAGTGTTTTCCCAAAATCCTATATGGCTGCAGAAACAGGCCAGATCCTGCTAAGCTTCTCTGAACAGCAGTGCTTTTGAAGAGAAGTGGGAAGTCGGTGGGATCATGAGCCAGCAACTTCCTTTAAGAACACTGCAACACTATTTAAAGTGTATTGTGCCAACCGAGCAACGAAAATGTGTATCTCAGAATACGATTGCCTTTGAAAGATGCCTTGTTTTCTAGTTTTCTCATAAGGATGACCTCTCTATGCCAGTACTGGTCTTAGATTATCAGCATTTATTCCAAAGAGTGATACCACAACAGGCTTCGCCCACAAAAATGGTGTTTTCATTAGCCTGAATAAGCTCAAATCTGTCTCGTTTGATTTATTTAGTATTTTTTCTAATAAAAAAAGACATCAAAGGAATAGTAGTTCACCCAAAAATGAAAGTATGCTGACAATTTATTCACCCTCAGGCCATCCAAGATGTGGATGAGTTTTTTTTTCTTCATCGAAACCGATTTGGAGAAATTGCATTACATCACTTGCTCACCAATGGATCCTCTGCAGTGAATGGGTGCCGTCAGAATGGATGTGTTGCTTACAAAAAAGGATTTGTTTCTTACAAATCTGGATTTTTTTTCACTTCACAAGGGGTTAATTGATGGACTGGATGATTACCTGTGGATTTTTGCGACGTTTTCATCAGCTGTTTGGACTCTCATTCTGACGGCACCCATTCACTGCAGAGGATCCATTGGTGAACAAGTGATGTAATGCTAAATTTCTCCAAATCTGTTCTGATGAAGAAACAAACTTCTCTACATCTTGGATATCCTGAAGGTAATTAAATTTTCAGCAAATTTTCATTTTTGAATTTTCATTTTTTTCAACTCAATGGCTTTTTGTTTTTATACACTAAATGAAAGCTAATTTTGAATCTAATATGTAATTTGTAATGAAGCTGTTTGGCAAGACATGTTTTTTTCCCTCAATGCTCATTCCAGCTGATCTTCCATCACTGAAAATGCTGCAAGAGGTTTTTTTTTTTTTTTTTTTTTTTTTTTTGAAATATCAGCACAAATGAAATGCTTGGCTGCTTGTTTTCTGTGTTACAGGATATTTTTCAGCATTTCAGTTTTTGTTTTGTCTAGGCACTACTAATCCTTATTTGACACATAAAGTCAGCTGGGTTCTGGAAGCTTGCTGGTTCAGATTGAGTTTGTCTTAAGGGTGTAAAAGCACACAAAAAAAAAGGCTGAATGTGTATTCACTGATATGAAATGTGAAATAAGATGACTACAATCCATCCGCACTGTCAGCCCATGGTTAAATAATGCATTGTACCTCTCCCATTATATACTGTACGTCTGTCAAAGATAAGCCTCCGCACACAAAACCGAAGCCTTACATGGAAAAGGAAAAGCCAAAAGCACAATTGATAAACTTGCTATGCTGTCTTCAATGCACTGCTTTTTTAATATGTTTGTTTTGTGGCTAATTTGCTAGTTCGAGACATCTTTGAAGGGATCAAGTGGGTTGCAGCAAATTTATGCCGCTAATCACAGCAGTTCAAAGTGAAGTTTATGTCAAGGGCAAGTCATGTTTGTTGCAAAACTATAATTTATTCCATTTAAGTTACAGAGAGCTCTGTCGTGTTTTAAATGATAGATTTTGTTTGAGAATCCTCTGTGGTGTATCGGTTTGTTTATATGTGGAAATGTCATTGGCACTAACATTGAATTACCTAGAAAAGGTCAGTAGTGACAAGGAGTATTTTTGTTTGAATCTTCTTGTGAGATGAAGGTTGTGACCTAATATAGAGTTTGATATGAAGATTTTGATTTGAACCAAATCACGTCATATCTTGCTGTGCTTTCCTTTAAAACTTAATTCGTATTTGTATAAATCCTGGAATGCCTTTTTGACGCTACAAATACTTTTTCACGAAGAAAGATTCCTAAAGCACTGTACGACATATCAAGGAGAGGAATTTGAAAAAAAATAAAGTAAGGTTTCCTGCTAGCAAGGTTTTGTGAGAACAATATTTCTGCACTAATACAGTCTGATATTTTTAAATCGGTTTAATGTGTTGACTTTATTTGTGAATGGGTTTGTGCTATGGTTTTATCAATATTTGTTGTAACCAGTGTTATTGTAAACTAAAACTGAAATTAAAATGATTAAAATCATAAAATATTATTAGGTGGAAAAGCTTCAACTTAAAAAAAAAAAAAAAAAAAAGAGAATTAGCAATGTGTTTTGGCAACTAACTGAAATAAGTTTAAATTATTAAAACTGAAATAAAAAAAATGAAAATGAAAATGAAAATGATTAAACCTAAATATAAAACAAAAACTAATAAAATTAAAATAAAATAAAACTGAAAATATAAAAATAAAAGCTAATTTAAATAATTAATAAATACTAGAATAGTAAATAATACTAAATTGAACACTGGTTGTAACACCCTTCAATCTATTTTCTTCCCTGTATCATTCATGTTTATTTAAACACTGATATATTGATATATTGATATCTTCTTGGTCCTTGGGGTCATTCCTGGCACCTGTAAACAATTACTTTTACGGTACATAAATTCAGCACATTTCTGGTAGACTTGAGCAGGTTTGTCCTTCTAGATCCAAAATTTTTAAGTCCCCCTGTAGTAAAATATTTTATCCCTTAAAACTTGTTTTTGATCATCAAAATGACATATTTAAATGTTTTTTCTTGTGAAAATAATTTTCTCATGCCTTAAAATAGCTTGAATGTAACTCTACACCCTTGCCTCATTTACTATACGCTGATCTATGAATATGCAAATTAGCCCTGCCTCCACTCAGTCACACCAGCCAGCGCCTCCTGATCCACTGAACTGTAGTAAACGCAAAACAATGGCATACGCGGATAATGACTGATAAAACTATGTTTTTACTAGCGGACAACTACAGTGAATACTGTAACATTCGTTAAAGTTACTTACTTGACTATGTTGTGTCCTAAAATGCCTTGATGAAGACTCGAATACAGCCGTTTGTAATTCCAATTCGCACCCGCGAGCATACGCGTGTGAAGTGCTAGTGATAGGAATCAATCCCTTGACGTGATTGGTTATTGGATTGTGACGTAGCAAACCGAGGGCTGTTTCAAACAGCATTTCTGTGATTGCCTTTGGGAAACTACAGTTTTAAAGGCAGAGTAAGTGATTTCTGGTAGCCAATGTTGATATTTGAAATTCCAAGATGCTTTAGTGTACAGGCACGAGTTAGAGCTCAATAGCACACACCACTTTTAAATTAACCTCATGTAGGTTATTCCAAGGGCACACAAGCATGAAACTGTACAATGGATGGTAATCTGAACTTCTTTCTGTGTTTTCTTTCTTTCTTTCCTCTTTTTTTTTTTTGGAATACAACCTTTCCTGGAAGTCATGCATAGCACTTATGGGAAGAATCAGAAATGGAAAAAAAAAATCATCTAAAACTACCCCTTGTCTTGTGGAAAGAAAGAAGTGAGCCAGCAAAAAAGGTCTATTTACACAGCTGTACTCAAGAACTTCCTCCTACTACGATTTTAATTAATATTTTTAAGCAAAAGTTTTGATGTTAAACATTTCATGCCTATCTACATAAATCCATATATGGAATGATTTACAGAAAAGTGATGTAATTTACAAGCTATATAAAGCATCCCTTTCTGCTGTTCTCTACATAAATATACAGTTCTTAAGTTGTACAGTTGTTTAAAATAACCACCTATGTTGGTTATTATATGTGTGGCTGAAATTTCACAGAATTCTGCCACAAATATCTCATAATGTTTCAGAGATTGTTTCTCTGTTGTGTAAATGATTCAACACTCATCTAAATGTCAGTTTTTTCTTAAGAAAAAGTTTTTGTAATCAGCAATGTGTTTCTCTGATGTTATCCTACCAATTGAAATTACTTGTGATGTAGTTACCTGGAAATGTGCATCTTAACTAGACAATAATTACGTTACAATGACCAAGATAACTGTTAAGCATGCTTTCTGAATGACAGATAGGCGTACAGTGCACTCTTATCATAGTCTCCAAACCCTAAGCATCATTTCCTGTTACACAGAACATGCTCGCTGAGCATCTGTCAAACAGTATTTCTGTATTCCCACCCCTTTTTTTTTTTTTTTTTTTTTTTTTTTTTAA